CATTGAGGTTTTGATTTGGATTTCCCTGATGCCGAGCGATATTGAGCACTTTTTCATGTGTCTGTTGGCCATTTGGATGTCTTCTTTGGAGAAATGTCTGTTCATGTCTTCTGCCCATTTCTTGATTGGATTCTTTGTTCTTTGGGTGTTGAGTTTGATGAGCACCTTCATATTCTTTAAATTGTACATTTATGTTTCATAATTCTGTGTGTATCTCAAAATTTTTTGATAAATTCCAAAAAAAAAATTTCAAATTTTAACAGCAAAATAGTCATGAACATACGTGATCACTATGTTCTCTAGAAGGCAAGGAGAGACTGTTTCCCTCACTTTCCAGAAAGGATACCGATGCTTGGAAATATAAGTGTTGAAACCAGTGTAGAACCCAAGGTCAAGGTTTTGCCAATCAAGTATTCACTACCCAGATTCTGCCTGCACAGAGATGCATAGGAGAGAAATAGTGAACTTCGTATAAGCTCCCCCATCTTAAAAAATACTCCAAATAAGGCTCTTTAAGGCTTCCAGCAGGGACACTTTATTTTTTGGTTAAAGCCACATTGATAGAAATGCCATAAAAACATGTAAACAAGGTATCAGAACTTTGGTTCACTGAAACCGCTCACACCGAAAACATCTGAGGTACAAAGGCACCTTGCTAGGTGCTAGACAGCCTGACTCTGCTGCAGCCACTCTGACCCAGCCTTTGTGGCCAGAGGTGGCACAGGGTGACCAGGGAGGTCAGGACCCAGGTCACCTGGGACCCTCCCAATCAGCTCTCCTTTGCTCCAGACAAACATTCACTCCAACAAAGACCCAAGTGACAGGGCCTGGAACATACAAAGGTGTCTGTCATGTTGAACTTGAGGATGACATGGGCTGTAGGGCCAGGAAGGGGAAGGGCAGAAAAGGAAGTCAGTCAACTTCTGTCGATCCACATGGCCTCAAGAATTCCTGTCCTCGTTCATGGAACCACTTATTTGAGACTGTGAACAGAAAGAAAATATGTTACAATCCTGTTTAGTTTAGCAGCCAGAATGAATGACTCCTTCATGATGAATCCTGCACTGGGCCTTGGGACTCAAACATGAGTAAGGTATGCTCTCATACCTCAAGTTGCTCATGAGCTGGTAAGGAAGACCTATGTATAAATAGGTAACTGTTCAAAGGTGATAAAAGATACATATGTGTACATTGCCATGGAAACTGAACCAAAGGGCACCTAACCATGTGAGGGAAGAGGAGACTCCAGGCTGGGACATGGTGCTGAACAGGAGTTATCCAGGGGAGAAGATGGATATACCAGATGATTCCTTTATCAAGGGGGTCCAGGAAGTGGGAACAGGATGAGAAAGACATCAAGGCATGAACCACCCTGGTGTGTATCAAGGACCCCAAGCAGCTTGTATTACTGGGAAAGAACTGAGATACAGAAGCTAAGGACGAGGAAGACTGTCCTGTCAGGACTGTGGAGGGCCTGGACGTCAACCTCAAGACCTGTGGGCCAGCCGACCCGGTGTGTGTGCTGTGGGCAGCAGAGGCGCCGAGCTGGCCAGCACTGTCTGTCACCTAAAGCTGGGCCTCCAATCCACGCGAGCCACGAGTTTGTCCTTAACACAAGACTCTTAGAATGACAAAACAAATTTATCCTGAGGCACTACTGAAGCCACAGAGCTTTTAAAATATAAATGTACCTAGGTGAAAAAAATTAAAGTGTCTACAAAGCTTATAATGATAAACAGCAATCTCCTACCCACCCCTTCCACTGCCAAACCCCACTTCTAGAGGACACTCGCCTCCTTTAGTTGTTTCTTCTGATACTCAACCACATATTTCTAAATAACATGCTTATGCTGCTATCTCTTGACTTCCAATTTTGGAATTCTTTTATACTACCCCTAAAACACATACTTATCACCTCCTATCTTCCCAATAGTGTTAAATCACAAATTTTAATTAAATTAACATTCAGTGCTTACATTATCATGTCACATAAATGTTGCTCATGCCTGAGCCACCTAGTAGTGTATGCTGACATTTCTCGTACAACTTTTTCTTTTCCCTGAAGTCAGCAATTGCTTCATTTAGTTTCTAATTGCTTAATTTTCTGTGAACCTACCACTATTACCCCCAAAACTCTCCAAGAGGGTATAAACTCCTCTGTCTGCAATCACTTCCTATCATCCTGGCCCAAGTCTCTCCCTGGTTCACCACAGCTGCTTCCAGAACAAAGCTCCAGCTTCAGCCTCTGAAGTTTGGTCCCAGCCTTGAGCCTCATCTCATGGCCCCTGTGCCAAAGGCCTCCCCTAATGCAAGTGACAAAGGCAGCTGGTCCCCCACACCCATGATGCCAGTTTTAGTGTAGGCCTTGTTCCAAGTGAGCCTTGCTTGCCTGGGTCACCCCTTCCCCATTCTGATTCCAGTTCTCTCCCACTGCTCCCTCAGAACCCCTGCCAGAGTCCACTCCACTGGGAGCCATCCTGGACCTACAATGGTTGTGTACCTATTCTTCCTTGGAGCTTCCTCAGCTCTGTGGGCATCTCTGAGCATGTTCCCAACCAGCCCATAATCAGCTCTGTGGACAGCTACATGGCTGGATGAGACAACCAGTTAGCAGGGAGAAAAGGAAAAACTCAAAAAGGAAGACAGTCTTGGCACTGTGAAAATAGGGCAGCAGGTATCTCCCAACTCAGAGTCTAAGGCTGACCACAAGAGCCCAGGCTGAGACCACCAAGCCACTCACCCCACTTGCAGCCCACAAGCACGGGACAGGCAGCGTGTCTCGTACGGTAGTCACCTTCCCCGCTCCGCAGGAGGTTGTACCAGAATACGGCTGTGCCCTAGGAAAAAGAGCCCGGCAGACAACACTCTTAGATTTGGGGCTCAAGGACCCGACCCTGAACACCTCCCTAAGCAGAAACACCCTCACTTTCCCATGTACAAAGGGACAGGGCTCTAGCATTCCAACAGCACAGAAGTATCCACCCTTCATGGTGGGGCAGATGTCTAATAATCCACCTTCCCCCAAAGGGACTTCCCTTCCCAGCCCATCTCCCCAGATGGAAGCTGAGGCCACAATGTCAGAGTTCAGGCAGGAAGGGGCTAAGGCCTCTCACAGTAAGAGTCAAGCAGGCCAGGGAATGGGAACGGAGCTTCAACCAGTGACCCACTTACCTTCTTAGGCCAAATTGCAGCCCCCAGATCAGGAAAAACAGTGGCACCACCAGCTTCTACATCGCTCATCTGAGAACACAAGGCATAGAGCTTAGCCCTTGTACTCAAAGCTCTCAGAGCAGCTGAGCCACAAGGACACAAGCATGCAGATTACCTTTCTCTGAGCCGGAGTGGCACTGCTTGAAGGCTCTGCTCCACAGCCGGCCCTTCGGCCAAGAAAAGCGCATCCCATGCATTACCCCTCCCTAAACCCTGCTTAATCTACGCGGTTCATCAGGATAGTCCCAGGCCAGGGGCACTTGAGAGTGGTAGCCCTGCAGGAGACCCAAATCCTGGCTGTCCTCGGATGGGAACAATCTGAGTCTGGACATGGAAAATGCCTGACTGACCCCCCGTTCTTGCATCACCATCCAGCCTGGGCCACGCCGAAGGCACCGTGCCCTGTGAGATGCCCTAGCCCGAAGCTCCTTGCTGCTCCCAACACCATCTGTGGCCCCCACTGTGGGCTCTGTTTCTCTGGTTCTAGCAGCCCTCCCCAGGCCCAGCTAGGTGAGCAGACAGGGTGTGGTTCCACAGGCCCTGCTTTCTCCCAGGGAGGCCCCAAACTAAATAGAACACAAGCTCCACAGTAGGGAGGCTACACTTATGCCCACAAAGTGTGCCTCAGCTCATGCCCAAGGCACCACTTCGCTCTCATCTGGCTGTCTTACTTTTCAAGTTTCTTGTCTATAATGTAATAAAATGTGGAGTTTTAAAAATATTTCCACAGGATGCATGCCAGACAGACTAAAGAGCACTCAACAGACATATGGTAAACGAATAAGATGAAAACCTTTGATGGCTTCCCACAGCCCTGGGGATCAAATCCAGGCTCTTTTCTAGAACCCAAAGGCCCTGTCAGTCTCAGCAGCCATTCTCTCTCCAGCCACTCTCGCCTCAAGCGCTGCCTCTGAGTCACACCAGTCTTCTTCCCTTTTTCCAACATCCCCAGCTCCTTCCCTCTTCCAGGTCTCCACACATTCTCCCCTCTGCTAGAAAGCATGTTCCACCAACTAATTTCCACTCAACCTTCAAGTCTCCATGGACACATTATTCCCCAGGGAGGCCTTCTCTGAACCTCAATCCTGAGCCACTTTTTCAAGGTATTTGTCACCATGGTAACTCAATAAATTACCTCTCCGATGGTTAAAGCAAGTCCCTCATATTAGACCGTAAACCCCATGAGAGACTCCACGTGTCCTGCTCACCAGCACGTTCATGGCCAGCCCCAGAACATAATAACCACACACAAAGCTTAAATGAGACACCAAAGGAAAAGATGGCCATAGGCTTCTGCCTCTAAGTTACTTGACAGTTTGTATGCCTCTTTAGAGCGGCCTCTCTAAGCAGAGGGGAAAGCAAATTGCTCCTCGTGTGAGAGGTAAACCCAATGGCCTGTGGCTGAAGCACAGGCAGCAGACGGGAGGCAGGCCATTGAGCTCTGGGGAAACAAAGGCATCTTTCATTTAAGAGCACGTCATGGCAGCCTCCTCACTCTGCCGCCAAGGAGGGAACTCTCCAGAGCACTCACCCCAAAAATCCTGACTAGCACTGGGCCCATCAAAAGGAGCCAGGGGTATGGGTGAGCACACAGATGGGAACACAGGCCAACTCTCTCCTCCAGCCAAGAAGAGTGCTGAGGGCCAGAAGGAACCCAGCCACTAAGCGACAGCTGGTGGTATCAGCCCTGACAGGAGTGGATATAAGATAGCACTCTGGACCCAGGTTCCCCGAAGGCCCATTTGCTGCATGCATCATACTCACGTAGTTTAAGAACGTGGCCACACGATTCCCCGTCCCTAAACGCTTGAAAGCATCTTGCTCATTTTTCTATAAAATTAAGTGAAAATGAACAGTGGACCTGGCCCCAATACTTACATAGTTAAGAAACGTCGCTAACCTATTCCCCTCCGTTTTGAGGCCGCTGTCAAAAGGTCGCTGCAACAAACAACAACTTTCACCCATGTTTGCAGACGGTTCCACCCCCCACTCACAGGACTGGGGCCAAAAGGGTCAAGGGAGGACACTAAGCGTGTGTTCCATACATCAGCCTGGACCACGGACCAGAGCTGCAAAGGAAACACAGGGGAAGGGGGGCAGGAACAGCTTTCACACAGACCTAGTCAGGGCTGATGCTAAGTCATGGCACAGGGAAACAGCCAGGCTGCACTGGGCTCCACAGGCCCCGTGCTTCCTGATTTGGACTTTTCCAGGAACAAAGACTTGGTCCTGGTAAGGCATGGGGAGTGGGGGGAGCTGACGTAGAGGCTGAAATACTCCGAGAAACTCCAGCTTTCTCAAATCAGCTGGAACGGGGCCCTGTGGAAACACCCATGGTTTGGGCCTTACCCTAGAGAAGTCAAAATGTGGCTCGTACTGTCCTCCCATTCCATAATTAGCAACCTGGTGGGAAAGAACAGCATTGGACTTTGTCAGCAGCATGAACAGTCCTGAAGCAGCCCATCTCCCCAGGGATACCGTCTCCCCACAACAACCAAAACAACCTGCATTCCTTAATAACCAGAACCCCCAAGTGCACCCTCTCGAAGGTGGATGATAACTACGCCCTGCCAGCACTGGGACACCGAACGCATCAAATGTATCCACGGCTGTGTCCAAGAGTCAGGCCGCAGCATAAACGGGGTTTCCCAAACACAACAAAATGGGCAACCTGCAGAGGGCCACGGCGGAGAAGCTCCAGCCCTCAGGGACACTCAGAGGGCAGAAGAGAGCACCTTCCATTGAGGCAGGCCCTGGCCGGGGCCCTGTGTGTTTGCAAGATAACAGGAAGGTAATCCAGAGGAAATCCAACAAGAAACTCAAGACAGGAACGTTGTTCTTATACTAGTTTGGGAGCTCCTGAGGACCTGACACTGCTCCTGCCCCACGTCACTGCGCCCTGGTTGCTGTTCCTGGTCAAAGGGAGCAGAGGGAACAGATCCCACTCCCTCTCACAGTGGTTCCCTGCACGGTCAGTTCTGCATCCAAGTGAAACAACAGGACCTGGGCAGCCGATGACCGCCTCAGCGTCCCTGGTGGGAGCCTGGGCCTGGAGCATGACCGGAGCCATCTTGGCTTCCGCAACTACCAGACGTCAGTAACTGGATTTATAAGCTGTAAACGCCTGACTGAACAGTTTATCAGCACAATGTAAGTCTTAAGTCACAAACAGTTATTCTAGCCTCAGTGGACAGAATGAGAGACAGAGTTCAAGATGAAGTACAGTATCTGATAATGGAAGCTGATAGATCAAGTGGTACCACCAATGTCCATCTGGGAACATTTGGCGCTGTATTGTACTGAAACCCTAAAAACCTCTGGGCCTCAGCTATCGGTGTTCAGGAAGTTGGTATTTTTTTGCATATCCTTTTTTGGCGATTCCAACAGTCCGATATGAGATTCTGCAAAACTGGCAATAATGGAGACCTAGAGACATGAGGGAGAGAGAAGGAGGGGGGGGGTACTTTACAAGAAAGGAAATCCTCTTATTGCAAAAGAAAGCAATATCTATCAAATGTGATGTAGTGTCAGAATCTGCACAGCATGATTTTCAATGTGCGCAAAACTAAATATTTTGATATGAAGAATCGGTGGACGAAAACATGCTATCATAGGCTGCTTCAGCCTTCAAGGTGCCTGCACCAGAATACCTGGAAATCCTGCCAACAGTGCCAGGAGGCCAGGTTCAGCAGGTGGCCCTCAGGCTGGAAGCACATCTAAGGAAGGAAGGGCTTCAGCAGTTGATAAAGTGATAATACAAACACTTTCCTTGGGTCCACTTGTTGAGAACTTGGAAGAAACTTTTAAACATGACTGGGATTAGCGTGCCAATGCACTCTGCAAAATTTGATCACCGCTTGCTGCTGGACCTGCAGAGAATGACTGTACTTTCCAATACTCCCATTTGCGGGATGGGATGCTTAAACTTGCAGACCCCACAGAGTGACAGAAGCCGCATCGTTATAGCGGGCTCATCTTTTAACAGTTTTGGGAATCACATTTGATCACGTGCTGATGCTCTTGTGTCTACACTATTTAACACTGTCCCCAAAGAGTCTAAGTGTCATGAGAGCTTGTGGATTTGCAATCAGATTCACCATCTGGGCAAACTCCGGGCCCAGACTCACAACTTTAGTAACAAGCAACTGTACATCAAAACGGATTCCTTGGCTAAAATTAACAAGTCAGGAAATGACAGATGTTGGCAAGGATGTGGAGAAAGGGAACCCTCCTACACTGTTGGTGGGAATGCAAGCTGGTGCAGACACTCTGGAAAACAGTATGAGGTTCCTCACAAAGTTGAAAATAGAGCTATCCTATGACCCAGCAATTGCACTACTGGGTATTTACCCCAAAGATACAAATGTAGTGATCTGAAGCGGTATGCGCACCCCAATGTTTATAGCAGCAATGTCCTCAATAGCCAAACTGTGGAAAGAGCCCAGATGTCCATCAACAAATGAATGGATAAAGAAGATGAATGGTGTATATATACAATGGAATATTATGCAGCCATCAAAAAAATGAAATCTTGCCATTTGCAATGACACGGATGGAACTAGAGGGTATTATGTTAAGCGAAATAAGTCAATCAGAGAGACAATTATCCTTTGATTTCACTCGTATGTGGAATTTAAGAAACAAAACAGATGAATGTATGAGAAGGGAGGGAAAAATAAAACAAGATGAAACCAGAGAGGGAGACAAATCGTAAGAGACTCTTAACCCTAGGAAACAAACTGAGGGTTGCTGGAGGGGAAGGGGGTGGGAGGATGGGGGAACTGGGTGATGGGCATTAAGGAGGGCACATGATGTAATGAGCACTGGGTATTATACACAACTAATGAAATCACTGAACTCTGCCTCTGAAGCTAACAATATACTATATGTTAATTAACTGAATTTAAATTAAAAAAAATAAATCCCCCACCAAAAAAAACTGATTCCTGTGGGGAGGCATTCATTTGAATCATTAAGTGTATTGTTATAAAAGTATGAGAGCCAGTCATTTGAAAACCATGGGTATTTATGGTACTGAGGTCAGAGTGAAGACAAAAAAAATAAATGGTCAGAAATTACTAAGGCTAAGACATCAAGTCAGAAGTGCCTTCAGTCTTAGAGAATTCTGGCAGTGTGGCATCTCTTGCACTATCAGACAAGCCTTCATCCAGTTCAAAAGAAAGCCTCAATTGCTCTTTTTCTTCCAAATGATCCATTGCAAACACATCGACTACAGGTGAAAGAGGGTCAATGGGAAGCAGAAGAACTGGCTCTTTTCCGGGAGCCTGTAACATTCTGAGGGACCATGGAGTTCAGGCTCTTGCTGGTGCCTAGGCACTGATTTTACTGCAACCAGTCCACACTGAATGAGCACTTAGAGGGAGGTGCTGAAACCCAGGTTCCTGTCCCCCAGACCATGCAGGGTCAAAGCTTTCAACACTGCTGGCTGGGGCAAAGGAAATGCCAAGACAGTTCCTAGAAGAAGAAGAAGGCAAACAAAAATGGGGCCTCAGCCCCTGAGCAGCTGTGGTCTGGGTCTTCCACAAGAGCCCTGACTTTAAGAGCCCCTCCACGCGGAGTCCTGGCATTCAGATCCCACTGATCACTGACCTACAACACGATGACAGGCCAGACAAGATGGAGGCAGGGTTGTGGCAGAGAAGCCCGTCCAAGTACGAAGCTGCTGCCTTCTCCGCTGCATGTGATATAGGGTTCAGAGCGTGGAGCCGGGGAGCCAGCTGGGAGGGCAACAGGGACACAGGTCCCATCCTGTCTCCTCAGCCCACCGGTCAGGGTATGGAATCAGCCAGTCAAGCAGAATGCTGTCCTCGATGGGGGCCAAGAGAGTCCTATCACTGGCTCTGACAGTGGCAGATGTCCTAACAATAGTCCTGCTCCATGACGACAGGAATCACAACAATGCCAACAGAGATGTACCTAGTGCACTCACAGTCCCTACTGCTCCTGAAATGGTGGAAGTGGGAAATGTGGCAGAAGTCCTCTACTGAAGTGCTTGTTTATGGGACCACCTTAAAATTAAATTAAGCTTGGGGCACCTGCATGGTTCAGTTGGTTAAGCATCCAACTCTTGATTTCCGCTCAGGTCACGATCTCAGGCTGGTGAGATCGAGCCCCATGTTGGGCTCTGCCCTCGGTGCAGAGTCTGCTTGAGATTCTCCCTCTCCCTCTGCCCCTCCCCCTGCTCACACTCTCAAATAAATAAATAAAATCTTTAAAAAAAATTAAATTGGGGCACCTGGGTGGCTCGGTTGAGCATCTGTCTTTGGCTCAGGTCATGCTCTCAGGGTCCTGGGATGGAGCCCCGCGTCAGGCTCCCTGCTCAGCGGGGAGTGTGCTTTTCCCTCTCCCTCTACCCCTCTCCCCAGCTCATGTGCACATGCACTCTCTCAAATAAATAAATAAAATCTTAAAAAAAGATTAAGTTTACAAACTCAACACTAAACTGGACTGAACTGAAGATTATATAAAATTTTCACAAGACTGAAAGGTAATCAGCATGTTTTTAAAAACTGGTAGATTTCACACAAATCCATAAAGAGGACCTTCAAAACTGGTTTTCTGATTGCTGACACAGCTAGAGGGAAAAAAAAAAAAATCAGTGATTTGCTTGAGTGTATCCAGGCAAAAGTTCAGAGAATCTTCCAAATGATCTTCAGTTCAATATTCTAATGAAATCTATGGTTGCCAAGCCTAAAGGTCAAAGGTTCAATCCTTAAATACATAGAAACTCTGGCCAGACAGACCCAGGGGACTCTTTAAAAAATGCCAGCAAGGGGCACCTGGGTGGCTCAGTCGATTATGCATCTGACTCTCGATTTCAGCTCGGGTCATGATCCCAGGGTCATGGGATGAAGCCCCGCATAGGGCTCCGCGCTCAGCGTGGAGTCTGCTTGAGATTCTCTCTCTCCCTCTGCCTCTGCCCCTTCCCCTGCTTGTGTGCGCACACACACGCTCTCTCAATAAATAAATAAAATCTTTTTAATAAAATGTAAAAAATGCCAGTGAAACTTCTCTAGCAGTGTCTCGGGTCACCACTTTACAATAGAACCCAGAAGTTCCAATGTTCAGAAGGGAGCATGGCCAAAACTGATTTGAACTCAATATATACCAGAGGATACATTATTAGGAGCTCTACCCAGCTGCCATGTGTCTTCACAATCACCTTTGAAATAAAGGCAGAAAGCCAGGGTTCCACAGGAGCTACAAAGCTCTCCACTCTCATCAGCACCTCCTGACCTCTCACTTTTCCTACCAATGTATCACAGAACACTTTACCTCCAAGTGCATGTGAACCAGGTGCATCGGAACTATGACCTCTAAAGATATTTATAGCTCTCTTAGAAGTGTCCCTAAAACAACTCGGGATTTCAGCTTCCATAGTCAAGAGATACAAATGGGTCTGCCATGCCCACCCCTGGCCCCTAGCTCCTAGTATGATACTTGGGCACACAAAAGATAATCAATATCTGTTGAATGATAACTACTGGAATGACAGTGGGCATGCTTAATTCTAGCTTCCCTATGTGAGGTCACTCCATATCCAAAGCACCGTGCAGTCATACAGTTCACTGGGTAAGCCCCCTAAGCCTGGCTCTGGGCACCCTGCAAGCCCACCTAGCCAGAAATACCCGCTTCCCAACCCCAGGGTCCCGAGAGCCAGCCATACCTGCAGCAGTTCTGCAGTCTTTACTGTGAGCCCTGTGATGTGCTGCATCCGAAGATTCACTCGAGCCACAACAGGGTCATCGTCCTCCTCCAGCCATGAGCTAAGCCAAAAGAGGGAGAGAAAGGAAGGTGGGGAAGGCAGCTTAGATGAGGTCTCGTACTCTCCCCCCAGAGTCAGAGCCAGCGCGAACAAGCAGCACAGGATGAGTATTCTAAGTAAGGAAGGTGTCGGCAGGAAGGACAAGCCAAGCCAAGCTCCCGTGAGTGAAACGAGGAAGCCCTGGAGATAGGGCTTGAGCTGCCACCCCACCACCCCACCACCTCTGCTAACCTTTTGGAAACCCTGTAGCTGGCAACAGTGAGGACGCCTGTCTTGGGATCACGAACAGTGGCTCGTGCAAGCTGGAAGGCAGGAAGAGAGGGCAGACTTACCCTTTTTTGCCTTGAGTGTTGTCCTAGAGAGACTGGACCAGATCTGCCATTCAGACCAGTGGGGGAAAGAAGTTTTTCAGGCAGTTGGCCCTAGACAAGGCACCGTGATCCTGCAAGCCAGGCAAGGGCAGGAGTCTAAGGCCCCCACGTTTCCTGCTCTGCTGTCACGCCCTGGCCACTGCCCTGCTCTCAGCCAGGTCTGTGCTGTCTGCAGAACTATGCCTCTGGAGTCCCCTTTGTCCACCCACCCACCTGCCTGGACAGACTGCTTTCTCACCAGGCACACGTACCGCCCCTGCCTGAGCACCACCTGTGCGCAGCTACTCCCACCACATTCAGACCCCGTCCCTGATCCTCAACCTTGCATGCTCCTCTCGACCCGCTCCTTCTCAACCACAGCAGTCTCCTCTGCCAAGAAACCTACCCAAACACCCTTCTGCTGCAGCAGCTCACACTGGGCTCCCGCTGCTGTGAAGAGCAAAGATAGGAGGCACACTCTCTACTCGCTTAGGAGCCTCACAAGGTCAGATGACAGAATCTGGAAAGGACTGTACAAATTGAAGTATGTGATCTGCTGCCTGGAAGCCACGTACCTCCACATGTATGCTAACACACACACATCCACGAACACCCCTAACCTACCTCATACCCTCCCGATCTCCACAGACAGGTACAGTGACGCTCCCAGGAAGCACTTGCTGCCCAAAGGCAGCTCACCATGCTTCAGCTGTGTACTGTCCTAATGACCTCACATGGGTGGGACCACAGACCCCACCCCAACAGCACTTCCCCCTAATTTCAATAAATACTTACTGAGTGCCTACTATGTGGCTGGCGTTACACTGGGTGACCAAGACATGGCCCCCAGGGGGGAGAGCTGGGAGCGGGGTAAGCTTCATGTCTGTGGGAGCTCAGTCTATACAGTCGAGAATGGTCAGGGCAAGACCACCCAGCTGAGACCTGAGGGGTAAGCAGGAGTTAGCCAAGTAGGGGAACATTATAGGAACAGGGAAGGAACAGCAATGCAGAGGTCCAGGCACGAAAATGGGTGTGACACCATGACTGTGGATAAGAAGAGGCCAAAGAGGCAAGTGGAGACGGCCTGGAAGCAAGCTCATGGCAAATGAGAAACAGGGAAGGCAGGTAACGGACATTCACAATCAGAACGTGGACAGCTCGTGGAAAGCTGACTAAGGAAGGGCTGGAGTGGTAACAAGGCAGCCAGAGAGGAGCTCAAGGCAGAGCTCAAGGCAAGAGCCAATGGCAGAAGGGATGGGGAGGTGTGGGCAGAGCAGAAGACTGGCCAGGAGATCACCTAGCCAGGACACTGCACCCAGCTCAGGCAGCGTGGCAGTGCACCGAGGACAGAGGACTTCCCCGAGCTCCTAGCTACGACTGCTCCCGATGACAAGTGCAGCTGCAGCTAAGCCCCATCCAAACATCTGAGCCTCAGTGCTGGCCTGGCATCCACAAGGAGGCTGTGGGCAGCCGTGTTCTGCTCCCAGAGATAGGCACGGCTATTTGGAAAGCAGGCCAGGGACCCAAAAAGGCAGCTGCCAGGCATTCCCCGCAGGCCAAGTTAAGCTCATGGGCCCTACTTCAAAGCCATAATAGCATCTGTCCCTCACAGGCTCCGGAAAGGAGAGGTCAGTTTGTAATGGCCCATGCCATGGCTTCTATTCAAAGACAAGTTTTCCCAACACTCCCCCCACACCGCCCCTGCCACACATGTGCACCACATACCCAACATGAATACACACACAGAAATGTTTCAGTGCCTTGGCCTGAGGGACAACTGAGGAACCTCTCAGGAGGTCCTAGCAGAACAAAGCCTCTCTCACCTGGCAACCAGGGAAACAGTTTTCTTCCCTGGAGGACTTTGCAGCTGACCCAGGGAGTGGAAAAGGTGGGTCCTGGTCCCCATTCTCCACACACACTGGCTAGACCATCCCTCAGCAACCTCAATGGCTGAGTCTGGGCGCTAGATGTCCTTGTACCTCAAGCCAAGGTCGCTTCATGATGAGGTGCAGGGGGGCCAGGATAGGAACCCATTTTCCGTCTCTCCACAAGTGTAGGGCCTCCTGGCCACTACAAGTCTATTAGGTGCAGAGCAACAGAGGATCCAGCTAAATGCCCCCCTTGTAATCACCAGTGATAGGAAAAGGGTGGGGACATGGCCGGAAGTGGTTCTACTTGAATGACGTCAAATGGGAGCAAATCTTCTATGAACTAGAAATACAAGAATAATTTTACAGCCTAATGACGTATATATGAAACCAACAGCCAACTGCATACTTAGACATGAAATACCAGAGGAATCTCCAGGAAATTCAGGAACAAGACCAGGATGCCAAATGTTAACAATGCTCAAGGAGTTCCAAGCAGTTCAACAAGACGATAAAAACAAAGGAACTATGATTATTAGGAAGGAGAAAACAAAATTTTCCTTATTTGCAGCTGATGATGGTGTCCGAACGACCAAGAGAGTCAGCTAAAACCTGAAAGAGGAATAAGGAAGTTGAACAACTAGCTGCAAATCTGTACAGGTCTGCTTCCCTGTGGGTAAAATGAAGACAATGACAGTGTACTTAACAGACGAGATAGTTTATATATGTTAAGCACTTAAAACAGGGCCTGTCACACTTAAGAACTCAGAAAACAGGGGCACCTGGGTAGCTCAGTTGGTTAAGAACCTGACTCTTGGGGCACCTGGGTGGCTCAGTCGTTAAGCGTCTGCCTTCGGCTCAGGTCATGATCCCAGGGTCCTGGGATCGAGCCCCACATCGGGCTCCTTG